AACTGGCGACCTCTTGGTTCATAGGTTGATGCTCAACCGCTGAGCCACACTGGCCAGGCGGTCCTTTTTTATTGTTGCACTCAGGAATTTGGGGGGTGATGATGAGTCCTGACATTTTCTTAGTTTTCACATTTTGTGAGGAAGATATGAGCAAGAACAGGCAGCTGAAGGGTGGGATCCCGTCTCCAGAGCCCCTCCCTTCAGGCCCACTGGACCCTTTCCTTCTCAGGAACACATGACTGCTGGAGGCAACTGCCAGACCTTCTCATCCTCCACAGTCATCTCCTACTCCAATACGGGTGACGGTGCCCCCAAGGTCTACCAGGAGACGTCAGAGATGCGCTCGGCACCAGGCGGGGTGAGTTGGAGAGCTTTTCCTCTCAGAGAAGGCAGGATTTGAATGGCAGCCACAGAAACCCTGCCTTCTTTTTTCAAGATTGAGCTGTGGGTGGTTTGCCTGTCCCGGGTTGGCGTGGCCTGGGCTTTGGAAGGGGCAGCTGAATGTGCCATGTTCTGCCTCATCCCAGATCCGGGAGACTCGGAGGACTGTGCGGGACTCGGACAGTGGACTAGAGCAGATGTCCATTGGACATCACATCCGAGATCGGGCTCACATCCTCCAGCGCTCCCGAAACCACCGCACAGGGGACCAGGAAGAGCGGCAGGACTACATCAACCTGGATGAAAGTGAGCCTTCCTTGCTGCTCACTGCCCTTCCAGCTTCTCTTCCAGTAGCCCCTAGTCCAGTTTCTGTGAACTAGGAGATACCAGCTTTTTCTCCCTACATCTATAGATATTTTTTTGGGCAAAATATGGTGAGCCCCATATTTATTTTATTTTTTTTTAACATTTTTATTGATCTCAGAGAGGACAGGAGAGAGATAATGATAGAAACATCAATGATGAGAGAGAATGATCCATCAGCTGCCTCCTACATGCCTCCCATTGGGGAGCAAGCCTGCATCTCGGGCATGTGCCCTAACTGGGAATTGAATCGTGACCTCCTGGTTCATAGGTTGATGCTCAACCACTGAGTCACACCTGCTGGGTGATGGTGAGCCCCATATTCTTACCTCTCTTGGAGGCTTGTCAGCTTTGGGGCTGAGTCAGGTCACCAGGGAGGGGCAAACTCTGTCACCTAAGTGAGAGATTGATAGTAATCTACCCTCTCCACCTGGATCCATTTTTGTTTTTTGTTTTTTCTTCTCTTTTTTTTTATTTGATTCACCAGTCAGGGAAATACTTATTGTGTGCTTGGGACTCTGCTCCTTAAGTAAATAATTATCCCATTCCTGAATTCCTTCTCTAGTGGTCATGCCTTAGGCCTGTTAGTGGCTTCTAGGAACCACATTGAACCAGAAATTGCTAAATAAGCTTGCCCTCCCCCACACATCCCATACCCCTACTCTCAGCAGTTTCAGTCATAGAAGCCTGTGGCTCACCCTTGCATCATCCTCTGGAAGCCAGGCTGTCCACAGGTGGTGTCTGGTCTCTGTCCTCTTCAGGTGAGGCCGCAGCATTTGATGATGAATGGCGGAGAGAGACCTCCCGATTCCGGCAGCAGCGCCCTCTGGAATTTCGAAGGCATGAGGCTTCAGGGGGTGGAGGCCGAAGGACCGAGGGGCCTCCCCGCCTGGCCATACAGGCACCTGAGGACTCCCCCTCCCGACAGTCCCGCCGCTATGACTGGTGAGGGCCCTGGGCCCTCAGCCTCTCTTGTAAGTATTTGAGGGGGAGGAATTGTAAGATGCCAAGCAGGAGGGAGGTTGGGCAGAGTACCTGTGCCCATTACTCTGCTGAGGCAGAAGCAGTCCAGGTGCCTAGCAAATACTGCCTTTGATAGAAGTTTTAGTTGCTACGGAAAGAACTCTCACCAGAATAGGTATTAAACCCCAACTCCTGGCTTTTATCATTTGTCTTCCTTTTGACTTGTACTCATCTCTCTCCCCCTCTAGGTACAGGCTGAGAGGCTGACAAATCATCCCCCGATATAACTTTTTCCTCTCCCACTCCCACTCCCACTTTAATATTAAATTAACAGGCAAGCTGGCCCCCCACTCTCCCTGGAGTCTCAGGGAGAACCTTTCACTGCCCCCTTTATCTACATTTTCCTTAATTCCCTTCCCACAGTGACTCCACATCTCCTGTATCCACTAACTTGATTTTTCATTTTGCTGCTTCATCTTTGAACCTCCTCACCTTCCCCATTCTACCCCTGCCATACATTGAAGGCTTTTGTGGGGAGCTCTGGGTTTAGGGGCCTCCTCCCTCCCTCAGCTACCTTGGACCTTTGCCCACCTCCTTCTCAGATCCCCTGCTACAGGGGTCATAGCCCTCATTCAGGGGGCTCTGTGGAGAGAGAGGACTGGTTCTCACCCCCTTCTCCCTTCCCATCTCCTACACATCACAAAAATCTTCCCTGTGTCCTCTACCTTTATTTTTTGTTTGTGCAACTTGTAACTAGGTGTTTAAGGAATAAAGGAGAATGGGGAAAAAAACCAAGTGGCATTCTGGCTTTGCTTTTAATCTTTTCCTGTTCAATTTCAACCCTCTTGTCTCCTCCTCGTCATTTCCTTTCTTCTGTCTTCATGTGTGGCCTTCATAACTCAAGTTCAATCCCAGTGCCTCAATGGTAATGACACTGGGACTGGCAGATGGGAAGCAGCAATGGAACTCAGCTGGGCTGGATGAAATGTAAGCAGCTGTCTTCCCTTGCTTTTGCTGTAACTTCATTTGTCAGGAAGAATGTAGGGCATATCTCATAGGTGCCTGAGGAATTTGCTGCCCCTTGTCCCCAAGGCACAGTCTCTCCCATGGACTGTGGGTGGGAACACGTGTGGTACAGATCAGGAAGGAGTCCAAATAACCCTACGCAGGCATTCAAGTGGGAGGAACTCTGGGGTCAGCAACATTCCACCAAACATTCTTCGAACCCTCCACTGCCAGTTGTTGAGAATTTGAGCCCAGTGAAGGAGACCCGAGGGGAAAACTAACCTGGAACCTGAGCGGTACTGGAAGAGCATGAAGTGCTCAAATTTCTCAAGACATGCACTTGCTTGACCTGGCTCAGGCAAATGGGTCACTCTGTTTCTCTTGGGAACCTATTAACGATGACAAATGCTTGTATGAGTTTAATGATGGTTTCCACTAATTAAAAAAATCTTCAGTTCTTTTCATTTGGTAAACAAAGGCAAAACATCCGTCAGCAACCACCCAAAATTCAAGGCTCTGAGTCCTCTCAGCAAAGGGATGTTTTAATGGATAAATAGGTTCAAGAGGATTTGTCTAGTTGCTCAATGAGCAGAGAGATGATGTTGAGCTCAACAACCAAACACTGGCTTTATAGTCCAAGGCAGGTGTTAAATCTTATTAAATAGGGTTGGTGAAGAGGCATGGCCAGGGTCCAGGGAACCAATTCCATGGCTAGAAGAATCCAAGAATGCTCAGTTGGGTGAGTGTCATCCTGTGCACTGAAAGGTCACTGGTTTGATTCCCAGTCAGGGCACATGCCCAAGGTGTGGGTTGGGTCCCAGTTGGGGTACTTACAGCAACTGATCTCTTTCTCACATTGATGTTTCTGTTTCTCTCTCTCTCTCTCTCTCTCTCTCTCTCTCTCGGTCTTTGTCTCTGTCTCTCTTCCTCCTTTTGATGTTTCTCTCCCTCCCTCTCCCTTTCTCTCTAGAAATTAATAAAAACATAAAAACAAGAAAACATACACCATAACCCAAGAAATCAAGGTTAAACAGGTATAGCTAATACAACCTCCATCTGGGTGCTGAGTTATGGTTGATGGAACTCAAAGTGTCTACAGCCCTCAGCTTCAAGTATAATCTGCTCTGTCCAGATAGACACACGTTTACTTCCTCTAGCAGGGGGGGTAGCCTTAGTCTCCTGAGGAGGCAGCACATGAAAAAGCACCGGAGTCACAGAAGGAGCCCAGAGGCTGGGTCTTCAACTCGGCTCTGCCACCAACCTGGTCTTGGGCAGGTCATTCACTTCCCTGGGTCTCAGCTATGCGGGTTCCTTCTAGCTACAAAATCATAGGCTATAGCAGTGCCCAATCTCAACCTGAATTTCTATGCCAGCACCCACACATGGATGTAGTTCTGAGTAGGGGCTGTAGCAGGGCAAGGGCTGCCCTTATTGCCATCTAGGTGAGTCACTCCAGTGTTTCACAAGCTCTCCCATTTGGGTTCTGGCTTTCAGACACATGAACTAATTTTCACCCCTGCACCCTGCTCTTGGGTGAGGTCCACCCTTCAACCCAACACTTACTCCGCAGGCCTGTGACTCTAGTTCTCAGCAGCGATGTGTTGTTCCAACAGTTATCTACAACTCTGGGGAAGATTCTTCATCTCTCAACATGAGTTTCCTGTTTTGTAAAATGGGCCTTTCTTGGCACTGGTGGCAGTGGTGATGTGGATAGTACAGAGAGAGCTTTTGGCGCAGTGCATGGAATATGAATGGCTGATTTCTCCCCAGTTACTCTGTCTCAGTCTGGTTCCTTCAGTGCTCTCTGTGGTCCTCATCCTTGATTCCATCCACAGGACTCCTCAAATACTTCCAGACACAACCAAACTTCCATCTTACTGGCCTTGAATCAGCCTCAAGCTCTCCGTTCTTCCAGCTACCAGCTATCATCTTTCACCCTGTCATTGCTCAGTTCACAGACCAACAAGTAGAAAGAAATGTTTTGGGCCATTCTGATCCCGTCCCCCTTGCAGTTTGAGATTTTCCCTCCTCCTGTGCTAACAAAGGGCTTCCGGTTCTAGTTAACATCTTTTACTCAATGATGCCTACTCAGTGCCCAAGTTATATAAACAGGCTACCCAGAGAACGAGGGCTGGTCTCCTAGCCCACATATTCCAGGCCATTTAACTTTATATACCTATCCTGCCCTGACGCTCCCAGTCCTGGGAATGAGGCTGAAGGAGCAGCAAGAGTCAAGGATTCCTTCTCTTGGGCCATTCCAGTTGGGCTAGGAACAAGAAAAAAGTAGCCTTTCCCTTTCTGTCCCTTAGACATCACTGGGGGGCTTCAGATAGGAAAGGTGGGAGCCAGGTGAAGCCACACTAGAGGAGGAGAGATGACGATAGGGACAGTTGGGCAGAGGAGTTGCTGAAAGACAAGCGAAGTAGACTTTGTGTAGCTGGTTCCTGTAAGGAGCCTCCCAACCTGCCTCCATCCTGGGGAGAACCGGCGGGGGGCACGGAGCTGGAATGGCTGGAGGGACGATCACTAAAGGGCTGGGATGCAGAAGGCTGGCAGAGCTGCTAGAGAAGGTGAGCCTAAAGTCCCCCTGCGGAGTGCGGTAGCCCTGAGCCTTCCCAGCCTCAATATCTACCTTAAGTGGATTTCCAGGGACAAGGAGGAGCAGTGGTGCTTCCTGCTCTGGGCCCAGGTCCTTGTTCTCTAGACTGTCCCTGAGGTGAGGTCAGAATTCCTTGCCCTTTCTCTGCCCTTTATGATTCTTCTCATCCCTGAAGACCTTATCTTTTGGAGAATGGGGTGCTGCCCCAGCATCCATTCCATCCTCTTAATCTAGCCTGTCACCTGCCAACTGGAGAACTTATAGGTTCTGGACAATTATCCCCAAGATGTCAGTGTTCTCCATCCAGGATGTCAGCCATATGTCTATGGGGTCTGAGGCGGAGGACATTTGGATACATGATGCTGGAGGAGGGGAGAGAAGGGGGCATGGGAAAGGGCTAGAGATTTGGACTAAGTCTTTAAAAGAGAGAGCAGAAATACCCTGGAAAAGTCATAGTGACACAGGTGGAAAATGTTTTGAGGAAAGTTAGCAAAGCTAGGCTCTTAGAAAACTACTGGTGGAATCTGGGTGGGGGGTGGGTTCCCAATTCACAGAGAATGTGGCAGGGAAGGACAGAAACCGATTCCCAATACAGATAGCCCCTGATTTAAGCAAATTAAGTATATGATATAATTTTAGAGTTGAAAGAGACCTTAGAGGTCACCTCTGTATGTTCCCAAATGTGCCAGCAGGTCAGAATTACCACCCCAGCCTACTAAAGCAGAATCTTCAGGTTGGAGAAGATTCCAAGGTAGCTTAGCAACAATTACAGATATCCAAACCCCAGCTCCTATTTTACTGTGGAACAGAGGTGACTCCTTGAACATCATATAGCTACCTAGTAGCACTGCAAGAGCCAGGACTCAAAATCCAGATTGACACAAATGATACTAACATGCTGTACAGAATGACTCACAATGGGACCTCCTTTAAATGAAAAGTTCCCCAGTGATTTAAAGTTTTTAAAAAATTTATATTAAAATTTACCCAACAGCATAGTTTTAAAACGATGGATTGCCAGTAGCCCAGTACATGTTTTTTTAATCTTGTATTTGTTTTTACATACAGCAAAGCTGCTGTGTGTACAGTTTCTATGAGTTTTAACACATAATAGATTTGGGTAACCAACACAATCAGGATAAAAACAGTTCCATTACCCCCAAGCCCTCTCCTGCTGCTCTTTGTAGTCACACCCTTCCTCCAGTCCTAACCCTTGGCAACCACGGATTTGTTCTCCATTGCTTGAGTTTTGCCTTTCCAGAATGTTGTATGATGAAGTCATATAGTGTGTAACCTTTTGAAAGTGGCTCTTTCATTCGGCTTTATTTAGCCCTTGAGATTCACTCTTGATGTTGTATGTATTAATGGTTCGATCCTTTTTATTGCTGAGTTGTATTCTACTGGTTATTGTCCATTCACCACTTTTTGGCAATTATGAAAAGAGTTGCTATAAACATTCCTATACATGTTTTTGTGTGAACATGCTTGTTTCTTTAAAATGAAATGGAGTGGGATTGCTAGGTCATATGGTAAGTGTATATTTAACTTTATAAGAAAATGATAAACTGTTTTCCTGAGTAGCTGTGCCATTTTGTATTCTTACCAGCAAAGCAAGAGTTCCAGTTGCTTTGCCTCCTTGCAAGCAGTTGGTATTGTCAATTACTTTATTTCACCCATTCTATTGGGTGTGTAAGTACTCTATTTATTCTAATAGATATCACATCATGATTTTAATTTGTATTTCCCTGGTGACTAATGATGTTGAGTATCTTTTCATGTGCTTATTTGCCATCATTACAGTCTCATTAATAAAGTGTGTAAGTCAGCCATTTTTCAAAATTGGCTTGTTTATTTTCTTACTGTTGAGTTTTTAGGGTTCTTTATATATTCTGGTTAGCTCTCTGTTAGATAGGGATTTTTCCCCCCTATTCTGTACCTTGTCTTCCTTTTCTTGACTTTTTCTCCCCCCAAGCAAAAGTTCTGAATTTTAATGAAGTCCAACGTACCACTTTTTTTTCTCTTATGAATTAACATTTTTGGTGTGGCATCTAAGAACACTTTGCTAATTCCAGAAACTAAGATTTTCTCCTATGTTATCTTCTAAAAGGTTTATAATTGTATATTTTTACATCTTTCTCTCCTTGGGTGAGTTTTGGTAGCTTGTAGCTTTCAAGGAGTTGATCCATCTCATCTAAGTCGTTGAATTTATGTGTCATATTCCCATATTCCCTTAACTTTTAAAATATATTTTTATTGGTTTCAGAGAGTAAGGGAGAGGGAGAGAAACATCGATGAGAGAATCATTGATTAGCAGCCTCCTGCATGCTCTCTACTGGGCATATGCCCTTGACCAGAATCGAACCCAAGACCCTTCAGTCCCGCAGGCTCTATCCACTGAGTCAAACCAGCTAGGGCTTATTAACTTTTTAATATCTGTGGGGTTTGTAGTGGTATCTCCTCTTTTATTCCTGATATTAGAAATTTGTCTTCTCTATTCTCTCTTTTATCAGTATGGCTAGAGATTTATTAATTTTATTGATCATTTTAAATAATCAACTTTTGGTTTCATTGACTTTTTCTATTTTTCTGGGGGTTTTTTTGGTTATTTTTTTTATTTTTCTGTTTTCAATTTCACTAATTGCTGCTCTTGTTTTTCTTCTGCTTGCTTTGTGTTTATTTCTCCAATTCTTTATATACCTTTTCAAGGTACAAATGTAGATTGTTGACTTCAGACTTTTCTTCTTTTCTAATATAAGCATTTGATACTATGATTTTTCCCTTAGTCACTGTTTTAGCTGCATCCAATATATTTTGGTATCCTATATAATAAAAGGCTAATATCCAAATTGTCCTCTTGGGAGTTCGACCAGACTGGGAGTTTGCTCGCTATGATGTGCACTGACCACCAGGAGGCGATGCGGAACATGGCGGGAGACCAGCTGTAGTGGTGGTGGGGCACTGAGGGAGCAAGGGAAGGAGGAGGCGGGGAGGTGGGGAACCTGATGGGCCCTGGTATCAGTTCAGGCATAGGGACCCTACCCTACCCGAATTTCATGCACTGGGCCTCTAGTTTTATATATTTCTTACTAACTTCACAATATTTTCTAATTTCTCTTTGACCCATCGGTTATTTAGAAATGTGTTTAATTTCCAAATGTTTGGAGAGTTCCCTGCTAGCTTTCTGTTATTGATTTCTACTTATAATTCCATTATGGTCAGAAAACAGTTTGTATGACTTTGAGTCTTTAAATTTGTTGAATTTTATGACACAGGACAGTATATCCCAGTAAATGTTCAATGCACACTTGAAAGTAAAAAGTGTATTCTTCTGTGTTGGGGGAGTGTTCTATAAATTTCAATTAGATTCTCTTGGCTGATGGTATCATTCGGTTTTATATACTTCTATATATTTGGTCATTTTCTGTTTACTTGTTCTGTTGATTACTGAGAAAAAAGTTTTGAAATTTTCAATTACAATTGTAATCTGCCCATTTTTCTTTTGACATCTATCAGTTTTTGCTCTATTTATTTAAAAAACATATTTTTATTGATTTCAGAGAGGAAGAGGGAGAGAGAAGAAACATTAATGATGAAAGAGAATCATTGATTGGCTGCCTCCTGCATGAACCCTACTGAGGAATGAGCCTGCAACCCATGCATGTGCCCTTACCAGGAATCAAACCTGTGACCTCTTGGTGCATGGGTCAGTGCTCAATCACTGAGCCACACCAGCTAGGCTGAACTTTATTATTTTATTGAATTGAGAGGAAGAGCGAAACATTGATCTGTTTTCCACTTATTTATGCATTTATTGGTTGCTTCTTGTATGTGCCCTGACTGGAGATCAAACCTGCAACATTGCCCTAACTGGTTTGGCTCAGTGGATAGAACGTCAGCCTGCGGACTGAAGGGTCCCAGGTCAAGGGCATCTACCTTGATTGCAGGCACATCCCCAGTGCGGGGTGTGCAGGAGGCAGCTGATCGATGTTTCTCTCTCATCGATGTTTCTAACTCTCTATACCTCTCCCTTCCTCTGTAAAAAAAATCAATAAAATATATTTTTAAAAAACCTGCAACATTGGTGTGTCAGGACAACACTCTAACCAACTTACCTACCCTATAAATTATGTACTCTAAAACAACAGGGACACCAATCCTTTTACTTTTAACCCACCTGTGTTATACTTAAAAATGGATTTTCAAGGGCAGCATATAGTTGATTTTTAAAATTCATTTTGATAATTTATCTTTTAAGTGTTGCATTTAGGCTATTTACATCTAATATCATTATTAATGTTTGCATTTATTTCTATAATTTTATTATTTGTTTCTGTTTGGTACATTGCTCATAGTTCCACTATCTCTACTTAAAAAAATTTTTTTTAAATTGATTTCAGAGAAGAAGAGAGAGGGAGACAGAATCATCGATCAGCTGCCTTCTGCACGCCCTCCACTGGGGATCCTGAAACCTGGGCATGTGCCCTGACCAGGAATCAAATCGTGACCTCCCGGTTCATAAGTCAATGCTCAACCACTGAAACACAATGGCTGAGCCAAATTTGGGATTTTTTTGGCTATTTCTTCTAATAACTTTTCTATTTCACATTTTCTCAACTTCTAGGACACTGTTGACATGAATATTAGACCTTTTAGTATTGTCCCCAGGTTCCCGAGGCTCTGGTGTGGTTTGTTTAAACATATTTTGGTTGTTTTAGAATACATAATTTATAATGATCTACCTTCAAACTCACTTGTTCCTCTGTCTTCTCCTTTCTGCTAATAAACCTATCCAGTGGCTTATTTTGGTTATTTCTATTTTTCAGTTCAAAATGTTCATTGGTTCTTTTTTTTTCTTTTTTTAAAAAATATATTTTATTGATTTTTTACAGAGAGGAAGGGAGAGAGATAGAGAGTTAGAAACATCGATGAGAGAGGAACATCGATCAGCTGCCTCCTGCACATCTCCCACTGGGGATGTGCCCGCAACCCAGGTACATGCCCTTGACCGGAATCAAAACTGGGACCTTTCAGTCCGCAAGCCGACGCTCTATCCACTGAGCCAAACCGGTTTCGGCCATTGGTTCTTCTTTATATCTTCTATTTCTTGGCTGAAACTTCCTATCTTGCCATTTGTTTTAAGAAATTCTCCCTTTCTTCTTCCAATGTGGTTTTATTAACTGCTTTGAAGTCTTTGCTTTCAATTCTAACACCCCTGTCATCTTGGGTTGGTTGTCTTTTCCCTGGAGATTTCTTTGTATGCTGCGTAATTTTATATTTTATCCTGGATATTTCGAATATTGACTGTAGATCTTGTTAAGATCCTAAGGAGAATGTTGTTTGTTTTTACAGGCAATTAATCAGGTTGGGCTCAGGCAGCAACTTGCCTTCTTTGCATTGTGGTTCCATTATCAGTTTAATTTTGTGGTGGTATTTGGATCAGCTCTACATGTGTTCCACTCAGTGGCTAGTCAGACTTGGACAGTGGTCCATCCTGTTGCTCAGTTCACAAAGCTTTGGCAAACTATTTAGGGTCAGATCCATGGTTGTGCTACTCAGAGATGAGCACAGGATTTAACACGTAATTCTGTAGGACTGTTCTCTTGAATTTCCTCCTATGACCTTTCTGGTTCTCTGGGGGCTTCCCGACCCAATCCTCTGACCAAAAGTTGGAATTTTATTTTCTCTAGTCTGCTAGGCATTTCCCACTATGTCTGGGCTAAGCCTCAAGAGAACAGAGAAAGAAAAAAGCATAGGGGATCTGACTCACACTTGTGGGACCACAACTCTTCTGGTCAGAGATAGGGGTTCTCCTCTCAGAATTTCAGTGCCTGCTCAGCCACTCTTGCTGTCACTGTTGCAGCTATCACCACCATGGTGTGCTTGGGGCTGGAGGTAGAAGAAAGGGAAAACAAAAATGGGGTTTCTGCCCTAACTGGTTTAGCTCAGTGGATAGAGCATCGGCCTGCAGACTGAAAGGTCCCAGGTTCAATTCGGGTCAAGGGCATGTACCTTGGTTTTGGGCACATCCCCAGTAGGTGTGCAGGAGGCAGCTGATTAATGTTTCTCTCTCATTAATGTTTCTCTCTATCCCTCTCCCTTCCTCTCTAAAAAAATAAAATATATAAAAAAAGAAAATGGGGTTTCCCCGAATCTACCTCTTAGGAGTCCCTTTCTGCTCCTCACACCTGTAATAGAGGGTTCCAAGAAGAGTTCTTTCAGTTCACATCTGATGTTCATTTCTGGTTTTGGCTGCCTTTGAGTCCATTTTGGATGATACTGGAGGAGGAAAAATGGTGAACTCACCATTTTTTAGTGGAGCTTTGAATTTTGTTTTTTCTCCCTGCTACTATTTACTTCTCTGAGATCTCAGATAGCTACTCCATGCATTTAGGAGCATGGGAGACAGGGTGAGGTGTGCCTTCTCCACTTATAATTTGTGTGACCCTGGGCAAATTACATAATCTTCATACCTCTTTTGTCATCTTGAGCAGTGGGTAATCATACAATCTCAGAAGGTCCTTGTGTAAATTAAGTGTTTATATACATAAAGCACTTAGGATACTGCTTGATTATAGTAAACATTTATAAATTCTAGCTTGTATTATTAGCAATTATCATAGAAAGATAATTGTTATTTCACCTTGCTGATGTGGTCTCCTGCTCCGATGGAGGCCACCTGGATGGCCTCTAACCAAGTCAGCAGGA